TATAGTTTCAGAATAAACTGAAAGTCAGAAATGATTAAATTAGAAGTTTCATTTTTGAAAAAAAAAAAAAAAAAAAAAAAAAATAGTAGGAAGGATGTTTGAAGTTTTCTGGAAAAAGAGAGGAAGAAAATAGTTGTGAAGAGGAAATTTTTTTCTCTTTTATTGATCGTGTATGATCGAGTAACATTTTCGATGCCATGAGGGGATAAAATGTTTGTCTGCTATTCCTTTTGAAATTATTCTGTATGTTTTTTGCATACTCGAGATAAAAACATTCAATAATAATTTTATGACATCCACGAGCCGTTCCTCTGGTAGGTAGGTGAATGATTAAATCTGCGAGAGTCGCACGAATGTAAATCGATGGAAAAATTTTATTCGCGCTGGCATAAATTACACAGGTGTTCTTAATACCGTGATCATCTACCAACTCCTCCGTGTTCTCCTCGTGATAAGCTCCTGCTATCATAAATATCAATTGAAATGTCGCGCACGAGTATTTACCAGGCAGGCAAGGATCCGGTAGCTATTAGCATTTCCCGTCTTGTCTCAAGTCAGTAAATCGTATCTCTCTCTCTCTACTACGAATGCGTCTCTTATTTTCATTGAGTTTAAATTTTTTTTTTTAGAAAGAGTAACTGTCGATCGTGTTATTTTTAAATTATTATTCCATTATTAATTTCAAATTGGAGTGGTTTAACTAGCTAGTAGTTTCAACTTTCAAGTATCCAAACAGGGATACACTTTCGTTCGAAAGTTTGAAGGATTCTAAAATCCCATTATTACATTACTACACAAACTTTGGACCAGAAGAAAATGGCCACTCAAATGAGCAATTCGCCCAGTGAGAAAGAGATCGAATTTCCAATATGTCCCGCGGTATCTCGAAAGATTCCGATCGATCGAGTAAAAATAAAGAAATAAAAATAATCGAGTGATAGGGATAGGGGGGAGGGTGCTTGTGGAGCGTGTCAAGACGTGTTTCTGGATCGACGGTCGTGTAACCTTGAAACTTTTCTGTGTGCTGCAGGGAGCGGCGAGAAGCGGAAGCCCGGCTGGAGAAGCGTGAACGCGAGAGGGAGGCCAAGATGGAAAGGGAGAGACTGGAGAAGCAAAGGGCCGCCGAGCAGGCAGTTCACAAGCACTTCGAGGAGTCCCTCAGGCTGGCGCAACAAAAGGTTAGTCAGCCTTTACTGCCTGTTTTTTCTCTTGCCGCGCGTGTTTTTAATGACCTCCGGCCTCCGACCAGCGTTGCACAGCGGCGTGTCTAACAGATGCTCGACGAAAAAAGAAGAAGAAGAAAAAAAAAAATCCGATATTATGCCCGTCGACTTAAACAACCGATTTCTAACGACCCTCGCTGCCATTTCTCCGTCTTTTTTTTTTTTTTTTTTTTTTTTTTTTTTNTTTTTTTTTCTATTTCTCCTTTCCTCGTTTCGCTGAACTTGTCGTTCTGGAGCGCTGTCTCAGCGTCCTATCATCGATCCTATCATTCTCTCTCATTTGATATTGTGACTCTAAATTTATGTCCCTTGATGACGACTTATTGTCTTGATATTGTCTCTTGATAAATTCTGCTTGTTTACGAACCCTCGCTAGTATTAACACATTGAGTACCAACCTACTGCCAGGGCCCGCACATTTTTGGAGCAACAGGGAAACTTTGCAAACGATGCGTTCACATTGATCAAATATTCTTAAATATTACTATATATTTTTTTTATAGTAATATTTAAGAATCTGTTTATCACGTATTTTAGATTTCAACTATTATTTATTTTATATTTATATTAACATATTGAGGATGGTATGCTCTGATACAGCCTGTATTTTCTCGTATTTTTTGAATTATTTCATACATAATTGAAAAGGTTCAAGAGAACCTTTTCAATTATATAATTTAACAAGGGTATTATTTTTATTAATAATTACAATTATTAATTTTTTTCATTTTAGAGGTATTTTATTAAATATTACTATATATTTTTTATAGTAATATTTAAGAATCTATTTATCACGTATTTTAGATTTCAACTATTATTTATTTTATATTTATATTAACATATTAAGGATGGTATGTTCTAATAAACATACAGCTTGTATTTTCTCGTATTTAATAGATGATTGAAAGGGTTCAGGAGAATCTATATAATTTAACAAGGGTATTATTTTATTAATAATTAAAATTATTAATCGTTTTTCGTTTTAGACGTATTTTATTAAATAAAATGAAAATACCTCTAGTTTCTAACGTTTCGTGGTGTGGTATGTTAGGAAGCAGTTTCCCTACTTCTTGAAAAATTGTGTAACATTGTAATATATAATATTACATAATATAAATTATATATTGCCTGGGTCGTGTCCCCTACAACGCAAAATAGTGTTTCCCAACCGCAACGTTGAAACACGGAAAAACGAAAACTCCAGTCCCTCGTCCGCAATGTGTTAAATTTTTTTAATCTTCTCCCCAACCATGCGTTGGGAAATACTTGCGACGTCTCGAATGAAATGAATCAACGCGACTGGCAAACGTTTGCCGAGTGTCTTCGAGCGTGCCGTAAATGGAAAACGACGATGAAGAAAAACTTTCGTGTTCGCGCGCGCGACAGAAGAAAGTTCAGGCCTTCTCCCCTTGAATTTTCCAAGTTTTTGTCGCGAACGAACGACACACGGACGCGGGGAAATCCCGGAAGTTTGACACGAGTTTCTCGCGACCCCGAAAGTCAAACAATCCCGGGGTGTGCTAACGAGGGCATCGCGATGCGTCACTTGTCGCGCCTGCACACTGCCGGCAATGGCAACGAACATATATTTTTATCGCGCGTTTCAGCCAAAGAGCCGACAGTTCAAATATTTAACGGCCGGGCTCTCGATTATGCAAGCAACGTCCAAGGGCGACGTCTCGGAAATTCTGAGAACTTGGCAGCCACTTGTTTGCACCGGCATTCCGCGGAAGTCGCTGCAAATTTCCGAGTAAGACGAAAGGGTGGCGATTCGCGTTCGCCGATACAACATCCCCTGTTAACATGAAGACGTTACACCGTCCTCGAGTGTCACAAAACAGTCTGCAGTCGATTTTTATTCTTTTTTTTTCCTCTGTTATTTTTTTTTCTTTTTTTTTTGTGCACGTATACTGTTATTTGTAAATAAAGTCTCGCTACTCATCTAAACGTGAAATTCTATCACACGAACGAGGGAAAGTACGTAAACTTCAATTGTATAAACTATTCGTTCCGTAACGAGTTTGTACAAACGAAGTTTTACTGTACTGTATGTATTAATTTTTGTATTAATATTTTGACATACACCACCTTTCTTATATATTAATGTAGTCTTTCGAAAGAATTGTGACAGTTTATTGATTTTATTGCACGAGTGCAGAATTAATATTCCGATTCCAGTGTGAAAGTTTATTATGAATTCCAGCCATTTCGTACGAGACGAATCTGTCAAAACAAGGTTCTCTATAGACCAAAACTATAACTCAAAAGGTCGGAAAGGAAACGCCCCTAAGCTTGATCCTTTTCTACCGTTATTTCGCCGTCTTTGTTCGAGGGAAAATTTTCGGGGTACTGGACCTCTAGGTCGATCGTGTACGTTCCTTTCATTGACCCTTTAAACAGTAAACAGCTCTTGGTTACTTGGAGAGTAAAGCTTGTTTCGTTCGAGAAAGAAACTTTTCATTCGAAGTTTTAAATGTTGAAAAGTGAATCAGTACATACAGTAGTTTTCACTAGTTACATACGTTTATCAGTAAATTATCGATTGCTCGTAGGAGAAAGAGAAAAAAAAAACGATATAAAAAGGAGGACAGAGAATTCTAAATTTATTGGAAAAAATTTTTGATCTATCGTTATATTCACAACTAACAAATATATTCGCGTTCGCACGTTTCTTGAATATTCAGTTAAAACATAAATTCTTATATACTCAATTTAAATATTCGCGTTAATTTAATATTCAGAAATATTAAATATTTTTTTGGCCAGAACGACGAACAAGTATAAAGACTAACCTTCTGTTACGAAGAAATCGTTTTTAAAGAAACAAGAAATGAATGTGTAGTAAACTTTGAAAATATTCATTGGATTAACAAATTTTAATGCCTTGGCAGATAATGGGAAAAAGATTACGAAACTCCAATCGTAGCAAACTGTTTGCTATAAATGGTTAAAAACACGCCGCACGAGAGGGACGAAAGTGCCAATTTACCCCCTGCTGGCGTAAATTTATTGCGTTTGGTGATTAAAAAGTTAACGAATCGACCTGATTATCGAATTTGCAAGCCGCGGAGCTCGCAGCAGCAGCAGCAGCAGCAGCTTTCGGCAGTCTGACTCGAAAGAGCAACCGCGTGGGGGAAGGGGTTTCGCCGACCTCGAATTAAATGCGAATATCCACGGGGAAGTTCGTTGCTGAAACTGTTCGTGCAAACAATTTAGCGCATTTACCGCCGCAGTGAATCGACCGGTGTCTCGTCGAAAGCGAGTATTTCCCTCGCAGACCGCAGCCCCAGTTCGCCAACTGTTCGAAATTCCGTTTGCGGAATTTTCAGCCAACTTTGTATTCGATGCGCACCGGTGGTAACGAGAAATTTTCCAAAACCCGAAACGCGCGCGCGCGCGCGCGCCACCCCTCTGCTACCGTCCCATAAAATCCGATCAAGTTTCCAACGCTTCGAATTCCAAAGCGACTGGCCATTCCCCTAACTTCGAAAGGGGGGAGAGGGTGGAAAGACACCGACAAATTCTAATTCTTTGGATATCGGCGCTACGCCACTTCCAAACGAGAGGAAAAACCGTGGAAATTTATGGATTTTGTCTCTCTTTCTGTGTGAATTGTCAAAATCGAGTTCGAGAGATCAGGTCTGATGATTCGGGGCATTTAATTCTAATTCTGTTGACTCTGTATTTTGAATTAGAAGACTCTGTATTGCGTAGATCTAGATTTTTATGAGCGTAACTAATAAATAGCTAAGATTATAAGCCTGTTAAAAGAATTACGCGTTGGCAACTGATTGCGGACCGTAACGAGTGGCCAAATACGTATACGATAATTCGTCGCTTTCTTTTTTGAACTCGTCGGTATGATACATAGAAATTATGTATGGAAATGATTGGAAAGCAATAAATTTATTATTTGCTTTGCCTGACTTATAATTGAATATACATAGAACTGAGAAAATGTTACAATTTTGAAACAAGAAATTCTCGACGCGCGTGGCAAAACCTTTAACAAGCGTATTGTTACGTATAGCTTCGTACAGATAGACCTCGAAACGTGCAATTCTGTGCGAGATTGGATCGATTTCCTGGCACCTCGAATAAAACCAACTTCGAATAAAAAAAGGAAAAGAAAAGAAGTTACATGCAACGTTGTCGAACTTTTTCAAAAATCAAAATACGAATAACTTCCAAAACAAAATACGAACAATGTCGTCAACGTGCACACGGTTCTGTGGAAACGGCGAAGAAATTCGAGGTAGAAAAACGAGGAGTGAGAAGCCGTCGGAAGGGATGGAGGAGAGCAGGAGAAAGGAGAGCATGATCGTTGGACGAGGGTGGCCCCGCGTAGCTGGGGAGAAAGAGGGATAAGCCGAGAGCAGCGTGGAGATGGCGTTCTCCCGGGGTTTTAGGGTCTCCTCCTGCGTTTCCCTGGGAGAGAAGGGTGTGTTCCCAGAGCAGATACGGGTAGGGATGCTGAGAGAAAGAGAATGAGAGCGTGAGAGACGGGTGGGGGGCTAAGGGGAGGGGGAGCAGAGGCAATCAATGCATTCCAGCACCTGCCTTTTGTGCGTGTTACAGCTCTGACAGTCACCCAAAACCTGCCCCGCGTGTTCTGTGTACTTCCCTGCTTGGCCTGCTCGGCAGCGTCTCTCATTCTCTCTCGTTCTCCTCTCGTTTCTCTCCCTTTGTGCGTTGCACACAGACTGCGAATTTTCTCTGTAACCTCTTCAGCGAGCTACGCGAGCAAATGGATTCACTCCAAGAATTTCATCTCGTCGAGTTCGAATTCACCCCGGGAGTCAATTTTCGATTTCTTGCAGTTCATTGATTCAGATCATTTTATTGCAAACTGTTGTTCCGAATTTTGCGTTCTGGATGCATATAAGATATAATTATGTATATCTTATAATATTATTATATATTTTAATATTTTTATATATATAATATACAAGATG